TTTTTTACCTTTTATACTATCCCTCTAGCTTGATACTTTATTCTTTCTTAGAGAAAAGCAGAGATGTTCTTACCAAGACCAAAGAAAGTGATAGAGGAGATTCTCCCTCCACACTCGGCGTCCCGGTTCTGACCCATTGTTTTGAGGGCATCCCCATCAACCCGCCTATCCTCACGACAGTGGAAGTTGCACTCTAAAGGTATCTCACCTTTGAGCTCAGGCGTTTTACAGAAGCTTTAGCACCCTTTTTGTGAAAAGAACTATTTAGTGGAATTAACGATAAAACTGATTAAAGATGTTTGTGGAGATCTAATATATTCCAAGTACTCTGCTGAACATGGGTGATAAAAAGGTGGAGTAGACCTAACCTCAACCCTCATGGAATTTGCATACAATGTAACGAAATAGGCAATAAAGAGTAAATAGGCGAATGTGGTAAGAAGGTAGAAGAGACCATGGAGGTTTGAACTTTAGACCTGGTACTTACAGCATGACTTTCGGAATGGGTGATATTTAAATGGAAACGTGGGATTGTTATAGGAATATGAGCTTGGCATTTTACAGGAACGATCAGGGCAGCCTGGCCTGTCAGTGATTAAGTGGGGGAGCCGGCAGGAAGTAAGATCAGAGGTGGACATGGAACCAGATCTTGTAGTGGTTTAGATTTTAGTCTTATTATTAAAGCAGGACCATTAGCACTTTTTAAACTATTAAATGCCTCAGTGTGTATTTCCCCCCAAACAATAGTATTTTACATAGTCACAATACAATTATGAAAATCAGAAAATTAACAATACTATTGTCTAATATACAGACTTTTTAGATTTTGGCAATTCAGTAATACCCTTCACACACACACACAAATCCAACACCACACATTGCATTCAGTTGCAGGTCTTTAGGCTCCTTTAATCTGGAAATAATCGCTTAATATAAATAGTGGCTTAATAATTCCATTGTCTCCGAATGTCATAATTTGATTAAAATCAGTTTTTCTTCTTTCCTCTTAGAATTAAATTCTTTACTATAAAATTCAATGACTAATTCTTTCCTCCCAGCTTCTGTTATTTGAGCTGGTGCCTCTGAGGGTCGCATCTCTCAGCTGTCAGGCGGTTACCTGAAAGAGGCCTCATTTTAAGTGAACCAGAAGCCCCTTCCTCAATTTAACTTTCCTTGACTAGATCATATTAAAGGAAAAGAGCTAACTCTGCTGTTTTTTTT